ACAAGAGCGATTTCGTTCTCTTATTCCTAGTTACATCCGCAATATCTCCGGCACTATAGTTGTGTATGATATTACATCTCGAGCTTCGTTTCTTGGGACATTTAAGTGGATTGACGAGGTACGGGCTGAACGAGGGGATAGTGTTGTGATCTTTCTTGTTGGAAATAAGTTGGATGCGCAGGAGAAGCGCGTAGTGAGCACGGAAGAGGCCCAAAAGAAGGCGGAAGAGTACAACCTTGTGTTTATGGAGGTTAGTGCTAAGCAAGGAAAAAACGTCAAGGCACTCTTTAGAAAAATGGCGGAGGCTCTCCCTTTGCCGGACGACAACGCGAGTGGTATTGGTAAGAAAGGGAATGGTGTGGGTGACAGTAGCGGCCAGCCGGTTGTGTTGGGCAAACAGCGGGATCCATTTCTCCTCAACCCATCGCGGCTTCCACAAAGTGATCGTAATGGATTGCAAACCAACAACAACAACAACAACAACAACAACAGGGGCAATGATGACACCAACGGATTCGCGAATTATAGGCAGGGAAGATGCTGTTGAAGGAAACAATTTAAAGGAAGGAATAATTGAAGTTGGATTTTAGTACTGCTCTTTTTCTCTCTCTCTCTCTCTGTGTGTGTGTGTATGTGTGGGGAAGGGGGGTGATGGACGGTGGATGATGGATGTGAACACCAAAAAAGAAGAAGTTTAGGAGGATGAGGAAAGGAATATACATGCATGCATGCTTATATATATATATATATATATATATATAGCCAAAGAAAGCGAAGGACAACAACAACAACAAAAAAAAAAAAAAAAAAAAGAGGGTATAAACATGCAGTTTACTACAATAAATGGCTGAGAGAGCATTAAATTATTCCATTACTTTATAAATATGTTTTGCGTGTCATAATGATTGCGTTGCTGCTGCCTTGATTCTTGTTTGTCTCTCTCCCTCTTTTTCTCCATGTACATGGGCGCATAGTGTTACCGCAAGTAACATCTCAAGAAGCTTCTTTTTGTGTTGGGCGAGGCGCGATCGCTGACACGACACACACGAAATCCAAACAACGGGGGATTTGAACATCCGTTTTTTTTTTTTTAGTTTTTCCTTTTTGTACCGATGAGTGGGGATCTGTTGGAGATACCCGGGGAGTCGAGGAATTGGGTGCTGAAGCGACATCGCGTTCTTGGCAAAGGCGGTTTTGGCTGCGCGACGTTGTATGAGGAGGTTCATACACCTGGTAGTTTTGTAGTTGTGAAGGATATAAACATGCAGATTATGAAAAAAGAAGAAGAAATGAAGGCAGTTGAAATGGAAGTGGCAATTCTCCGGCGTTCACGCGGACATCCAAATATTGTGCAATTTTTGGATTACTACCACGACGGTCAGTTTATGATGTACATTGTCATGGAATACTGCGAGGGTGGAGACTTGGCACGGCTTGAGGAACAAATGCAGTTTCGTGTTTTCCATCAACCTGAGAGATTTATCGCTTCCATTTTCATTCAGATGTTGGTTGGTTTATATTATTTGCATGTGGATCAGCTCACACTACACCGCGATATTAAACCACAAAATGTGTTTCTCTGTAGCGATGGCACAATTCGTATCGGTGACTTTGGCGTGTCGACAGTTCTCAATCAATACGGCTGTCGCGCGAAGGCGGTATGTGGCTCCCCGTTTTACATGGCCCCGGAATTGTGTGAAGAGAAGGCGTATGATGGCAAGGCGGATCTCTGGAGTCTTGGGGTAATGATGTACGAATTGATGGTACTGGAGCGACCGTTCAATGCAAAATCCATCCCCGCACTAACGCGGCAAATCATACGCGGCGAGTTTAGCCCCATCCCGCGCGAGCTTCACTACTCCGCTCAACTTGTGGAGATGGTGGAGTCTTTTCTGCAAACATCTCCAACCGCGCGGCCAACGCTTCGACGCGCGCTGCGAAGTTCTTACGTACATAGTCACCTTGACTGCGTTCCAATTGTTTGCCTTCTCTCGGATCACTATGCGCGGCTTTTTGGAGAGGAACTTCTGCAGCAAATTCTACAGAAACATGAAGACTCGACAAACACCACACGTCAAACAACTACCGTTGATAGCAGAAACAGCGCCAGCGTACAGGAGATGGAGAGGTGCAAAAATCATAGCGACTACAGCGACGGTGCATCGGCACAGCCACGCGCTCATCAAGAGATTAGCGAGCTGGAACAGTGGCTGGAGGCGAACGGAAATGTCAGCGATGCTTTCATTGACGCACAGTCGCCCAGAAATCGTGCCGATGGACGGCAGCTGTCAAACTCACCATCGGATATCGGCAGAGCGGTGAAAACAGGCCGTGTCTTTTCGGACGACATTATGGACGATTCAATATCCAGTGAACAAGGAAAAGGGCAGCAATCGGAGGATGATGAGAGGGATGAATTCTACGAGGATGACTTTGAGAGTGAGAGCAGTGGATGAGAGTTCAAGACGTGAATTTTGAATAGCACGAATGCGGCCATAAAATTAGACGGAGGTTGTGTGATGAAGACTGAAAAGAGAGAGAGAGAGAGAGTAACAGAATGAAAGAAATTATTTATTCCCTTATGGTTGGCACGCTCTTTTTTTTTTTTTTTTTTTCTTTTTTTAAGAGTCTTATTTTCTTTTTGTGGCCGAAGCGTGTACACCCTTGAAGGTAAGGAGGGGGGAGGTGTTGACATGTCGATTCACGAGGTTCTGACGGCTCTGACGGTGGTGCATTCCCATCTTTTGGTCTCCTTTTTGCTTTTTTTTTTTCTTTTTTTCTTCTCTTTATTTGTCTGTGAGTTGGGCGTGACGGTTGGACACGTGCCGTCCGCCCTGCTGTCTGATGGGTAGAGTGCTTCCTCGTTACGATTCAGCTCACGGAAGTTATTCCCAGAGTGTCTCCACCGCACAGATCGTAACGATGAGTGGGCGTACAGTTTTAAAGGCGGCTGCGCCATTCTACGATCCCATTTTTGTTTTTTTCTTCGTTTTTCTTCTTCATCCTCCTTTTCTTTTTTTTTTTTAATTTTTGAAAATTTGTATGAATGCCGCGGTCCTGGACATTCCGCCTCATAGCTGGGAGCTGCATTTGCCTGATGAAGTTTGAATAAGGAGGAGGGAGAGATGCATAGAGGGCACTGAGGAGTTTTTCGTGGGCCTTTCTTTTTTTCTTTCTTTTTTTTTCTTTTTTTTTTTCTAACATGTGGAAACCATAAAAATGTTTTGATATTTGTGTGTAGGTCTCTGCCTGTTCATGTGTCTTATCACCATCTCATCTAAGGATGTCTCTTGAAGAAAGGCGGCGGGTTTTTTTTTTTTTTTTGTGTGCTTATTTGAATTTGCGGGGGATCTCTAGACGTGCACTCACGCAGATGAGAACATAGAAACAAAAAAACAACAACAACAACACAAACAAACAATGAACGCATCTCACGAAACGTAAACATGCAGTGGTACTTCATTGATGGCGTACTGTGACCTTTTGTAATATTACTCGAGGCTCTGCTGTGGTATTGCATCCCTATCTCTGACGATCTGAAAGCGTACATGATAACACCGGGTGGGATGGTGAGGATTGTCTTGGGAACGTGTGTCTTCATCTCTTTCTTTTTCTTTTTCTTTTTTCTTTTCTCCCCTCATTTTTTGTCTAGGGAAGGGTGGCTTTCCGCTTCTCTTTGCTTTTTCCGTTGAAGATTTCATTTTGGGGGCGGAATGGTCTTTTTTTCTTTTTGTGTGTGTGTGTGTCTGTGCCTTGTGGGGGCGTTGCTCGCCGTGCACTTCCACTCGACAGACGTCCCTGCCACGACCTTCACCGGCTGCCAATGGCACAGCGCTTTCACAACCTTACACTCTTCGTAATTTTACTTTTTTCTGTGGGCGACGGTTATCCGAGCTGCCCTTCCGGGTTGTTTTTTGGGTGCTCTGCCCTGCTCCCCAGTGACGTGTCTGATGTATTGCCGCTGTCGTTGTCTTTTTCACTTATTGAAAACACACACGCTAGGAAATCAGGCGCTAACCGCTACCGTGAAATTCGAAGACTCTGAAAGGACCAACAACAGCACGCACACCGCCCTCACACATATTTATATGCAGTTACGTGTTGCTGCTGTCAATGCACCCCGCACAAACAACCGTCACCGCGTGACCGGAACAAGCTGAAGGAGGAGGGAAGGAGGAGAGAGTGAGCCGCAGAGGCCCAACATGTCCCGGCGTGTATTTAATTCCACGGTGTTTCTCCTCCTTGTCGTGATTATGATGTGCTGTGGCAGTGGAGGTGCACACGCTGTGGAGAGCAAGCCAGGGGGTGTGCAGCTGCCGCAATGGGTCGATATTTTTGTGCCGAATAAGACGCAGGTGTTGCCAAAGGATGGGACTGATGAGACTGGGGTGAAGGAAGCATTTGCCGCACCCTCTCTCGTCCGTGTTGGTGGGGTAATGATTGCATTTGCTGAGGGCTTCCTCGAATATAACGGCCATCACGAGAAATTATTTGGGACTCGTTATTCCGACATTGTGGCTGGGTACATCAAGGCTGCGGAGACGTGGCCGTCCATTGTCGCTGAGATCACCAAGGGGGATTGGAGGGCACGCACCGTGCTTGGCAGTAGGAATGGCGATGATCGTTTGCGCGTTTTTTGTCGGCCCGCATCCATTGCAGGGGACAATAAGGTGTTTCCACTTGCGGGAATCTGTGAAGAGAAGTACGACAATGATGATGAGGAAAGGGCGGCGGGTGACTCAGCTATTCAACTGGTTGTTGGTGTGGCCACGCAGCCCAAGGACGGCGAGCCGAGTGGAATGATCAACTGGGAAGAATCCAAATATTTCTTGCAACAGATCTCCAAACACACTCAAGGCCACATGAAGGATTTTGTGACTGCTGGTGGCTCAGGCATTGTGATGCAGAATGACACGCTTGTGTTTTCCCTGAGTGCGAGGAACGGGAAAAACCAACCTTTCTCCATGATCAATTATTCGACGGACAAGGAGAACAACTGGGTGTTCCCAGAGGGCATTTTTTCTGTGGAATGCCTTGGCTCCCGCATCACCGAATGGGAGAATGGACAGATTCTCATGATTGCTGACTGTTTTGAAGGCCAGAGTGTGTTCGAGTCGCGTGACATGGGGACAACGTGGAAGAATGCTGCCAGAACACTCTCAGGCGTGCGGGTCATTCCACACTCAGGAGTCCGTTGGGACGAAAGTTTGCGTGTGGGAGCCCTCATCGCTGCGACCATTGGGGGAAGGAAGGTGATGCTGTACATTCAGAGAGGGTACGCCTCGGGGGAGTAAAGTGACAAGGCGCTCTACCTTTGGGTCACGGACAATAGCCGCACGTTCCATGTTGGGCCCCTTTCTACGGATCATGCTATGGGTGAGACGCTTGCCAACGCCCTGCTGTACTCGGATGGTGCGTTGCACCTTTCACGAGAGGGTATTGTGGGAACGCGCCGGGGCATATCCCTTGCCCGCCTGACGGAGGAGCTGAAGACGATCAACTCCGTCCTCAGCACTTGGGCGCAGCTGGATGCCTCTTTCTCCGAGTCTTCCAGACCCACGGCTGGTCTGGTTGGGTTCCTGTCCGACGCATCGTCCGGCGATGTCACGTGGATCGACGAGTACCGTTGCGTGAATGCAATTGCGACAAAAGCAGCGAAGGCCAAAAATGGGTTTAAGTTCACGGGGCCGGAGTCCGGGACAACATGGCCCGTGAACGGCCGGGAGGATAATAACCAGTACGGCTTTGTGAACTACGATTTCACTATTGTGGCGACGGTGATCGTCCACGAGGTTCCGAAGAAGAGTACTTTTCTTCTGGGTGCGGGTCTGGGGGACGGTGCCGGCAAGAAGATCATTGGGCTCTCGTACAGCATGAATAAAGGTGGGAGACGGTGTTTGACGGCACAAAGGCAGCACAGGACAGCACGTGGGAGCCGGGGAGAGAACACCAGGTGGCGCTGACGCTTCAGGACGGCAAGGGCTCCGTGTACGTGGATGGTGTGATTGTGGGGAGCCCAGAGACGATACCAACAGTTGGGGCGCGGGGACATGAGATCACACATTTCTACTTTGGGGAGGCGAGGGGGACATCAACAGCAGCGTGACGGTGACGAACGTCTTTCTGTACAACCGCCCACTGAGTGTCGGTGAACTAAAAATGGTCAGGAAAGGCGACGGTAAAAAAGGGAAACGGTGACGATTCCATGCGTGGGGGCGTGTCTCGGGTGCTGCTGCTGCTGCTGCTGCTGCTGGGGCTGTGCGGCTTTGTAGCCCTTTACTGAGGAATCGCAGTGAGGACTTCCTGCTTCCAGCGGGAACATATGCGTCTTTCCACGCGCTCTTTCAAACTAATTGCCACTTTTTGTGAACACTTTGTTTTGACCATTTTATTTTACTTTAGATTCTTTTTGCTGCGCAGGGCTTTTCCTCCATGTGGAAGCATGCTCTCCCCAGCACCAGCACCGCGGGGTTGTTTTTTGTTTTCTTTTTTCCACCCCGTGTTGTGGTCCTCCGACAATTACGGGATCTACTGAGTGTTTTTTTTTTTTTTTTTTGATTGACCGGAGACGCTCCCGGCATTGTGTGCCACGCCGATGGCGCCGGCTAATAAAAAAGACAATGGAATGGGGGCACGAAACCGCGCCGGGTGTCCCAGTGGAATATAAATAATGTGTGGGCACCTGGTGTTTAAACGACTGGAAGGAGTGCAACACATTTATTTATTTCTTATCTGCAGGCGAGACACACACACCGATTTGGAGGCCACGCACCAACGTGCAGGTTTTTTTTGGTTTTTGGGTGAATGCATAATGGAAGACGAATACATCTTTGTCTTTTTACTTTTCAGCATGTGTGCCGCGGCTTTCCACAGCGTGGGCAGCCGTGCAGTGCTGCGTTTCAGCAGTCATCCTGTTTGTTCTTTTTGTCTGGCACTCTTGTGTGGTTGTGTGTCCCCTCAGATGCTTTGCTTTTTTTTTTTTTTTTTTT